CTCGTTCCTCGTTCCTTGTTCCTCGACTCGCAAACGTGACTATATCGCTGCCACCGCCGCCGCCGCCGCCGCCGCCGCGCCATGTATCGATCGTAGTCGATGCTTGCCCGTCGAGCAAAATAACGTTAATCAAACGAGAGGGTGGAGGGGGCAGGTGGCGACCGCTCCCCTCGTTTGGGGCTGAAGAAACATCCGGCAGTGACATTGAAATTACCGGCCGCAGTACACGCGAGAATGTATGTATGCCCTGGGTAGTACATTCGATGCAAGTCTTGCTGACACTATGAACACTATTTGACATTTAATTCCCGATGAGCGTAGATTCGTGGACATAGATTTTCACTAGTTATAGGATAGTTCGATTAACTCGATTTTTCGAAAATATCCATCTGAATATATTCTAAAGTTGTAAAATTTGAAGAAGAGTTAAGTTCTCTTCAAATATTAAAGTAGAGAAAAAAGAGAGAATCATCAATCCTCAAAGTTTTAATCAATAAAATCAATTTACGAAGCATTATTTAAATTGCCACCGGAGGAACAATCCATCATAGAAAAATCTGTGAGAGTGTATATTGTTAAACGCTGTAGAATAGCGCGTTTTTTCACAAAGAATATTATAATCAATCTTTGAAGTTTTAAATTATTGATAATCGATAAGAACATTTCTAAAATCTTAGCTTCGTCAATATCAGTGATTATCGCTGTGGCAATAGTCACAGATAGATAACAAAGTGAAAAACTTTGTTTAACGATTCTTTTTTTGTTTTAACTGTACATTTCGCGATTGCTCCTGTTTTTCGAGGTTCTTTTCGATCACCCAGTAGAAAAGCACGCACCAGTAGGCTGCGTCGAAGGGCGATGCACCAACGGTTACCGTTCCCGAAGGGCGGTTGCCATCCCCCTTGGTTCCCGCCGCACCACCGTCGCTACCACCGCCATCACGAGCGGCAACGGACTCGACCCTCGTCGGAACAACTCCGGTTCGAAGGGTTGGGGCGGTCGATGCAGCGTTACCATGGAAACCAGACGCGCCGTCCGCCACCCCTTCCCACGGTGCATTCAACCGTGGGGTTGCGCGATCCGCGTTCGAAAATGCAACGGTACTTCGATAACGGGAATTATCCTCGCCAAGGACACGTTCCTGCGCCCCCCGTTTCCCCTTGATCCCCCGTCGCATTTTTTATTCAGACACTTCATCCCCTCGCGCGAGAAAGAATTAACTTTCCTCTTCCTCCCTCGTTATATCCCGTCGCGGTACGTGATTTGTCATACGTGCACGATCGTTTGAAATTACGTTTTTTATATTCTTCTCCCGACAATTCAAGCGTACATGTTCAAAGACAGATGTTAAAAGTTCAAATGAAATAAACTGAGTGAATACATAAAGTAATAAATTTTTACACAAAGTCATGTATTTTTAACGTATTCCAGATTTTACTTCAAAAAGCTAACAAATAAGTGAAAAAACATACTCGCTCTTTTCATAGCCCGACCTATCTCAATTATATACATTGGTTATTGAAGTGTATATATTCAATATACATATTTTACGTAAACAATACATTAAGTAGTTTATTATTAATATTTTATAAGTTAAATATTTCAACAATTTGCGATTGGCTTTTTTATTATATACATCGTATTGATATCGGTATTAAAGTTAACCGTGATTATTTTCGATAATAAAATGCTGCCTCTTTTAATCTCAATAAATCTCATAAAATCCGTTTTGTCTTTAAAAGCTGCAAAGGAAGCTTCAAAGGAGCTATTGTTGATATGTACAATCCAAATAATTCATTTTATTAAAATATGCGTGCTGAATATTTTTTGCATGAAATTATTTCAACGGGAAGATATTTTATGTATGTGTGTGTATGTATACACATAGATATACTGTTTTACGTAGCTTCTTCACAATGGCGTGAATTCTCACTTTTGGTGAGTTCATCGCGCGTTCCTCGCTACTTCCTCGGCCTCGGTATGTTAAACACGACTTTCCGGCGACCTCGGGCACCACGGACACTTCCCTCAGGAGCGTTCACCTTTTATCTCGGGAGTTAATCGAAATTCTTGCACGAAGACGGCGCGCACTAGTCGCACTCGCGAGCGAGGACTCGCCGGTGCAGCAACTTCAGAAAGTGTTTCCTGGAGCGCGCGAGCAAGATGCTCTTTGTTCTCTTCGCCTCCGCGGTTTCCCCTCTTTTCCTCTCTTCCTCTGTCTATGGCTTCGCTATCTTGTTTCTAATATTATCGCGTGAATTTTGCCCATTGCTCTCGACCTCGGTTGAGAAATATGAAATAAGTCGATTTATAAAACGATTTTGAGGGGGGAAAAAACGTCACGATATTTTCTGTCGAGTCTTTCTTGCACCGATGAGATAATAGGCCCTGTTCTTCTTGGCTCAACTTTTGCATCAGTTTATCTTCTTCCTCTTTTTTTAAAGAGGAAAGAAGAGGAAGAAAGATGAACTGGTGCAAAAGTTTAGCCAAGAAGAACAGGGCCTAATGTCGGTTGATGCACGAAACTTCCGAGAAACGATATTTTCATTTAGACAACCTCAACACGTTCAAAAAGATCCTCTTCTTTCTCTTTCTCTCTCTCTCTCTCTCTCTTTTCTTCCTTCTCGACATTACCTCTTTCGCGTTCCTCCTCCTCCTCCTCCTCCTCCTCCTCCTCCTCCTCCTCCTTCTCTCGAGCGTGGAAAAGCGAGTGTCGTCGCACGGTATCCGATAAATTCGCTCGACCGGGTGGGAGAGAAGTACGATAACCTTCGCATTCGTGACCTTGGACTCGCGGTTTATACCAGTCCTCCCTCATTCTTCCTTTTCCTTCGCCGCCGGCGCACGTCGTTCCCTTTCCTCCGGCCGCTTGGACGATCTCTGTCCTCTTCTGACCGCCAGGTGAAACATGGCCGTCCGGCTCGAGCGATTTAATTAGAGGGACTCGTCGTGAACCGCGCGAATAACCGCTGCGCCTCGGGGGTGCGGAGGGAAGAAGGTGGAGAGGTAGCCAGACATACGCGTGGGAATCGCAATAAAAGAGACCTTTGAGATAGGAAACACCATAATAATAATTAATTGCAACGACAGCGGCCTCTCTCTCTCTCTCTCTCTCACTGTCTCTGTCTCTGTCTCTCTCGAGGAACAGTCAGGGAGCGACCGATAGTTAAATAAATAATTATTATACTGTTATAGTAGATACTATTACCGATAGGACACAGAATAATATGATATTCTCTTTCGTTACTGCAAACTCTTTGGTGGATGAAGTAAAGTGTACAGAGAAATTCGCATTACTCTTAGCAAAGCGCCGTTATTAAAATTTCATTTTATACTAGCGTGTTTTACATAACGGAAAAATACAAGCACACTCGGTTACATCATTACGTAGTTACGACGCTAATAATTAATGACATTTTAATAAAATCATCATTTTAATGGAAAATTAAAATTCTAAAGAGAATTTCGAAAAACGTACGTGTGTATATAAACATTGTAGCTGTTAAATAAAATGACAGAACTAATGATACAATAGTTAAAATGTTTCAGAGATAGAAGAAAATTTTGTATGTAATTCGTTGAAAGAATAGTCTGTAATAATATAATAATAATGATGCATAGGAAATGTAGCGATACACGATATAAATATGAGTGATTTCTGCTTGCAGGGATGCCGGTTGACTGAAGATGGCCTCGCCGACACCCTCATTGGAATCGCGCGCAAATTCCCTCGGGTCCCCGGTCTCGCTGTCCCCAGTAACGGTGAGCGGCAGCTCGCCGCCTGCTAGCGATTCGGCGATCTGCGACGTCGACAGCTGCGACTTGTGCCTCGACGCACCAAAGTCGGGCGAAGATCCGTGCCCGCGCTGCCGATTGGGTAGCACCGGTGGCACCAGTCGCATCCGCTGCACCGGCTGCAAATCCACTGAAGCTGGCGCTGTAGCGCGTTGTTACGATTGTGATCAGTTTCTCTGTCCAAATTGCGTGATGGCACATCAATACATGCTCTGTTTTGAAGGCCACCGATTGTTGAACCTGGCCGATTCCAAGCTGGAGACCGTCGGTAGCGGCGGCGGCGGCGGCAGTGGTGGCGGCGGTGGCGGCGGAAATGGCGGTGGTGGAGGCGGTGGTAACACGATCACCGCGACTACGGAATTGCCTAAAAGCGCCTGCAACGGCAGTAACGGTGGTGGTGGCGGAGGTGGTGGTGGTGGCAATACTCTGGTTATCAACGGCACCGGAAACAGCAACAACGGTGGCAACGCCGAGAAGGTACACTTCTGTTTGCGACATAAGCAGGAGATAATCAAGTACTTCTGCCGAAGCTGCAATGTGCCAATTTGCAAAGAGTGCACGCTGACGGAGCATACTGCGCCGCTACATGACTGTGCCCACGTCACGGAAGTAGGCTCGCAACAACTGGAAGCATTGTCGCGGATCGTCCAGGAGTGCCGCTCGAAGGCGGCGGACGCGCGTGCGGCGGTCAAAGCAACGGACCATAATACCGCGATACTACAGGTGCAGTATCACAAAGCGCAAAATGAGATCAACGATACTTTTCAGTTCTACCGATCGATGCTGGACGAGCGCAAGCAGGAGCTGCTGAAGGAACTCGACTCGGTGTTCTCGACGAAGCAAATCTCCTTGAACGTACTCTCCCAACGAGCCAATGAGATGGCGGACAAAATGATGCAGACTTGCGACTTCGTCGAGCGTGTAACCAAAGTTACCACCATCACAGATTTCCTCATGGTCAAGAAGATCCTCGAGGCTAAGCTCCAATCACTGCTCAGTTACACTCCAAATACAGACATTGCCAATCAGACGGCGGACCTCGAATTTGTCAGCAATTATCAAGCGATACAAGTGGGAGTGAGGAATACCTTCGGTTACGTTCGGAGTAATAGTAACAGTGAAAATAACGCGATCGGCAAGCAACCACCTATCGCACGACCTACCGCTCTGTCGAGCAACGGCATTGGTAGCGGTAGCAGCAGCAACATTAGCAATGGACCCGGGAGCGGGGTTGGCTCTCTGGGCAGTCTTCTCTTAGATCGGACTTACAGTAACGGCCTGATCTCCTCCAGTATGAATTGCGGCTCGTCATCCTCACCTTCTTCGATCGACACTGTCAGCAGCGTGATCTCAAAACGTTTCAGTTCGGCCAACAGTCTCGGCCCGTTCTCCACGACGATCAGCGACGTGAACTTAAACGGCATGAATGCTAATCCGTACGAGAAATGGAGCAACGGCGGTAGTGACACTTATCCGGTCGTGACGACGAACGATCATTTCGCGATGCCGTCGGTAGCTGTAGCGACGAACGCCGCACCGGGCGATTCCGTCCTCGACTTGACTTCGAAACTGATGTCCGCCACCGCGATATTCCCGCCCAAGTCGCAGATTAAACGACAGAAGATGATCTACCATTGTAAGTTCGGTGAGTTTGGCGTGATGGAGGGTCAATTCACCGAGCCGTCGGGTGTCGCGGTAAACGCGCAGAACGATATCATCGTTGCCGACACGAACAATCATCGTATTCAGATCTTCGACAAGGAAGGCAGGTTCAAGTTTCAATTTGGCGAGTGTGGCAAACGCGACGGCCAATTACTTTATCCAAATCGCGTTGCCGTTGTGAAGACGTCCGGTGACATTATCGTTACGGAACGTTCACCGACTCATCAGATCCAAATTTACAATCAATACGGTCAATTTGTACGCAAGTTCGGCGCAAACATCCTTCAGCATCCACGCGGCGTTACCGTCGACTCGAAAGGACGAATCGTCGTCGTAGAATGCAAAGTGATGCGTGTCATCATCTTTGATCAGACCGGCAACGTTCTACAAAAATTTGGCTGCTCGAAACATCTCGAATTCCCGAACGGCGTGGTGGTGAACGATAAACAGGAGATCTTCATCAGCGACAATCGCGCTCATTGTGTCAAAGTTTTTAACTACGAGGGCTCTTACTTGCGACAGATCGGCGGTGAGGGTATCACCAATTATCCGATCGGCGTAGGCATCAATACGCACGGCGAAATACTGATAGCGGACAATCATAATAATTTCAACCTGACTATCTTTACGCAGGACGGTCAGTTGGTCTCGGCTCTTGAGAGCAAGGTGAAGCACGCACAGTGTTTCGACGTGGCGCTAATGGACGACGGCTCGGTCGTACTGGCCAGTAAGGATTACCGGCTGTACATATACCGCTATGTACAGGTACCGCCGATTGGCATGTAGAGCAGTGACGCGTCACGACGACGACGATGATCGTCGTGCGCCAGTGTCAACGTTTTTCATCGTGTCATTGTCATCGCCATCATCATCGCCGCTCTTCGTCGTTGGACGGTCGCGTGGCTACCACGATCTCATCGATCTTTCCTCTCACCTACGTTCGCCTGTCTTCTACGGCTGCTTCATCGTCAACGCCCGCGCGCTCCGCTCACCATCTTCGCCATCATCTATCCATCGCCTTCTTCGTTCGCCCCAACGAGACGTTTCACGCCGACCATGAGAAAAAAGCGCACCGTTTATTGCTTCATACATGACTCTCTCAAGGAACCGACTCTCGAGCGAGTGTCGTTTACGCGGCAAGAAAATGAGAGTCCCCTCGTCGGAATTTTCCCGAGGCGCTCCTCTTCTGGACTCTGCCGAACGACGGACATCACCGACGGTATGCGAGAAAGCACGCGCGCGCTTCCCTCGATATCCTCCCCGCGTTTCCGCGCGAGCTGTCCCTCTTTAGCTGTCCCGCGTGGACGAGCGGAAAGAAAGAGGAAAAACGCGCCGCGACGCTTTGTATGTATAGCCCTTGCGATGCCGGGCTGTTTAGAACCCGCGAAAGAAAGAAAGAAAGAAAGAAAAAGAGTGAGAGAGGGAGAGAGAGAGAGAGAGAGAGAGAGAAAGAGAGAGAGAGAGAGAGAGAGAGAGGACGTCAACCCTACCCCGAAAAATTCGCGCGCGCTCCTTTCTTCGCGCGTACGCGCTATGAATACGCGTGCGCGTACGCGATAACTTACTTGTTAATGTTGTTATAATACTGAAAATACTGTTGTTGTTGTTTAGTTGTAGAGCTCGCCGCCGCTAGTCACTTCCCCCCTCGCCTTCCACCCTCCGATCCTCTTCCCTTCACGCCCGTTACCATTTCTCCCACCTTCCCATTCCCATTTCCCACACTAACCACAGTCTTCTCTCTGAGACCTCGTCCGACGATCACATCAGGAAGTGCGTTTCCACTCGTCGCGACGACATGGTCCACACTAACACATGCATCGAATTGTTACGTGTGCCCGAATCCACGCGCGTATCATCATTTTTGTTACTCTCTTCGACGGTGATCGATCGCGACCGTCGCGCTCGGGTCAGCTTCCGATCATCGCGCTTGAAATGTCTCCCTCCAAATGCCGTGCGAGGTTCGCGAGGAATGTCCGTTCGTCGCGCGAACATCCGTTTTGATGTATATCTCGTGAGAGATTCGTTTTGAGATCTACGCGAGATCCAACGATTTTCTGCAAACCGCTTTCAACAGGTTTGATTTTGTCCCACGGGACATGAGACTGATTGCCGCGAGTAATTATTGCATACTCTCATTACTCCGGTAAGCTTCGAATTAGCTCATACATCATCAGCACATCTTATCCGCGGTTTTAAACGATTTTGTTTCCCAAATTGTTCGTACGTTATTTCTATGGACAATTGTTCGATCTTACTGAGTAAGACATCAGATTGATCCATGTGTTATCAATATATAATATGTTTGCGGAGATAGTTTGAGAAATTGTTGGGGACATTAATAATTTCATCATTATATTTCAATACAATAATATATATATTATATAATATATCGACATATTTGGGTAGCAGACTCGCCGAAGATTGTTGAATCGTGTATGGGCGCATTTGGGACTGTGATCATCCGAGATCAACTTGACCCAATTAATTATCCGTGAGATGCGAGAATAGAAGCGGATTCTAAGTAACCGGACGACAGGACACCTTACATGTTGCGGATCGATAGATTGTATTCCCGATAAATTTGCCTTTCGATTTCCATCTCATACGTCTCTCCCATTCGTTTTGTAACGGTTATCGACAATTCCTACGGAAATTCATTCTGAGGTGCATTTCGTAACTATGACAGCGTTTTGTTGAACGTCATTGAACGGTCATCGCACGCATTTATTTTTTTTTTGTCTTTTCAATTTATTATTATTGATCAGTTTTACTCAAGTAATTTTCGCACCTCCCCCCCCCCCCCCCCCCCCCAGTACATTCGTCTCCATCGTTCTGTCGCGAAATCGCATCGACCTACGTTAACTTTTTGGTCAATAATTACTTTTCTCACTCGGTTTACGTGATAAATTTAATAACTTTTGTCGGCGAGTATATGCTGAGTGCTTATTGACGGTATCATTATTCATTACGTTTAAATATATATCGCGATACGGAGTATTCGCGGAAAATCGCACCAAGTAACGTTAAACGCTTAAATATGAGATCCTGAATTCACTTATAGATAACGCAAATAACTCTAATAGAAATAATGATTGTTCAATTCAAGGAGATACGCAGGAAATTTATAGAGACCTGAATGGTGTAGTATTACAGGAAATGAATCTCAAGAAAAGAAATAGGATGCTTGGCATTTGATTCAGGCGTAAAAAAAAAAAGAAGCCGATTGCGTATATCATAGTTAAATAATCGAGGCTCATTCTCGACTTTCATAGCAAAATAACGCAATCGTTTTAACGTAACCACACTATCTTCATTAACGATACGAAAGCAGAAGACGAATTGTCATTGTTGTTTCTAACTTCCCATTTTACGGCAAAATCCTCTTCCTTTTTCTTTCTTATTAGCGTAGTTAGTATCGTAGCGCATATAGTAGCTATTAGCCGGTTTAGCAATCAGTATAAGACTTTTCCTTTTTGCTCTGTATCTCATTCTCTCGATAGTTATGTTATTACAGCCTGATGCAACTTTTGTTTTTCTCTTTTTTTCATTTGTGTCGCTGCGCTTAAAAAAAGAATGCGTTGTTGCTACCGCTTATGTTTTTGAATTCTCACGAAACCACCATCTACCCGAACTACCAACGATGAGAACCACCACCACCACCACCATCACCCTCCGATTCCCACCCGACTGCCGCGCGCAGCCGTTTTAGGTTTGTGCCGGCGTCTGTTTCACTTGAAAAGAAAACTTATAGTATTAATATATTTTGTTGGATGGATCGCCAATCGCGGAAGTCCTCACAACTCCGCCGCGCGACTCCGTGCATGTTTGCTATTATATTTTTTATTAATATTATTGTATTATTATTATTCTATTATTATTAACGTGTTGCGACTTTCGATTGTCGATACAAGACATCATCCAACGCCCCTGTATTATGAAGAGAAAAAGGCTAGCTGGCATGATCTAATTAAAATGAAGATTCGTGGATTATGTCAGGATCTTTGGAGATCATCAGAGATTGCTTCATTGATTCAAATATCAACTTAATCCTGGAAATTTTGGAAAATTCTTAGATTGCTCTAAAGTTTTCAGATTTTTGCACCCAATCGTTTATTAAAAAAAAAGTTATTTCTTTTTCCACTGAGAATATTACATACATTTTACACATAGATAATTAGTGAATTTTAAAAAAAATTAATTTTTGATGACTCGATCGAGTATCGGATTGTTTCAAATTAATGACAGATTTTTAAATAGAATAATAGATTAAGATGTGGATAGAAATAACGATCTCTCAATAATTGATTCCGTAATTCGATTAAGATTCAGGCGATAATTAATATTTAACATTTCCGCGTCTTCATATAGTTTCGTCATCGATTGCAGTCGAAGATCCTGGGATAATTCGCGATTATATTGCTATCTCGTGATCGCTTGATTTGGTAGTCGATCTGATTAAGTTGGCAACAAGATGATATTTACGAAATCGGTCTGAAGATTCATGGCATTCGATTAAAGACTTTGATCCAAAGACTTAATCCTTCGATCAATCTACCGAATTTATAATTCGAGAAACAGGAATTGTGATTTAAGCGTTTTGTACCTGCTGTAGTCACTGTTTACAAGCATAAACGACTTTTAAAGAAGAAGAGTACATGTGACCAAAAAAATATTTAAGTTTCAGTGACGTTTGTATGAATGTTATGAATCTCATAACTGACGTTTGTGCGTTAATGAATATTTAGAGACACGCGAATTATGATGTACGACAAACGTTTTGCATCTGCGACGAACAAGTATGTGATATTCGACAGATACAGGTACTAAAATAGATGTTGAATCGTGAATCCTTTAATTTTTTATGCAATTAAAGACTACCGAACCAGGTGATCGTCGTTGAATTTTATCCTTGTTCGTCCGAAATAATTCCGTAGACATTCCGTGAGCATTTTCGATCTTCTTCCTTCGAGTCGCGTAAACGCTCAGAATCATATCGCGGAGTAGCACCTGTCGTTACATGTCGTTTGCCATCTCGAACGAAGGATTCGATATTATTTTTGACCGTAAATTCTGGACATTTTCCGATTGGAATGTCCTCGTCATGCAGGACGAAACTTTAAGGATGAACAAGGATATTAAAAATTAACAGGGTGTCCGCGGAGAAAACGAGTGCAGAGATCACCGAGAATTATTTAGATCAATTTCACATTTTTCATTATATCGCGATTTTGTTTCGATGTTTCTGTTTCAGTCTCTTGATTAAGCGCCATTCTCGCGTTGGCTCGGGCAAACCGTCAAGCTGTTTCAACATTAATCGATCGCGCCTCCGCGTTTATTTTTTAAATAACTTGACAAAGACGGAATGCCAAGAGAACGACGCGAATATGGAATATCTGTAATTCGAAATCTTTTTCTCTAGGAAGGGGGATATTAATTTAGGGAAGGGAGGGGTGCATAGAGGAAGCTTGCACCATCGAGACGGCATCACAAGGTATCTGTCCATTAGTATTTATGTCGCATAAACATGCGTTGATCCCTAATTAACATTACTATCATTATCATTATTGCTATTATTAATTAGTTATTATCGATTATTTAGTTACTATTATTATTATTATTATTATTATTATTATTCCATTATTATCCTTATTAATCAGTTATTATACCGTTATTATATTGTATTAACGCGTTTGACGCGAAAACTGAGAAGAGACGATGCGCCACCTTGCCAGCTAGCCATCACTACCACTACCACTATTTCGCCGCTCTCATTGTCAGTAATCGGCCGTGAGGCGCGCGCGCACACAAGACAAGAGATTAAATTCCATTCCTACGCATTACTCCCAAAGTAAGAGTCCGCGAGATGTACGTACATGCGTGTGTGTATGTGTGTATATGTTACTACTGTGCCTGCGTGTGTTTTATATATGCGTATGCGCGCTCGCATTGCTCGCGTTATCACCGAGAATGAGACGCGCTCCGCGATGCGCGCGAGAGATGAGAACGAATTACCGTTTCGACACTGTCACTTTTCTTCTCGCTGTCAGCCACTCTTCTTCCTCTTTTTTTGTACTGGTTTGTTATGTTATTATTATTAATATTATTATAATATTATTGTATTATTATTTTTAGATGATACAACTCGATTGTTCTTAATTTAATTGTAAATCGTATTTTTGTTTGTTTTTTAGTTATTTTTTGTTGTAAAATGCTTTTTAATAATATTTTCAGTTCACATTATAGATAAGCATTGGTCTTATTTTTATTTTCTACGTCTCTTGCCTGCTATTCCCTGACAACGGCGGCGGCCCGGTTCGGAAAATCAATATTCCCCTTTTGAGGAAAGTCCATTTTGAAGCATCGAATGGAAATATAACTCTTAAGAAAAGTCCACTGTCAAATGAAAGTTTAATTACTCATATAAAATTTCCAATTTTATTATTTTATTCTTGTTAGATTAAATATTCTTCGCCTAGTATCGCAATGCGACGATGCTATTTGAAATTCATTCTTTATTATCCATTACATAAATAATAAAAAAATATTTTTAAAGCATAGATACATAATTTAAATAATGTAAATTTGACTATTATTCCATTAATTCGTTATTCTATTAATTATTTTTCTCGTTTTTTTTTTTTTAGTAAATTGCTTTAACATAATCTCAAACTAACGTATTTTTCGAACTGGTCCGTCAATATTTTCTTATCCGAGTAATCGAGTTTTCATTTACGATCCTTGTAGGCGTATCATATGTGTTTTAACGCAAGTATGATCGACGAGAAAACCTATTCCCAACGAAGTTTCCTCGTCGATGGTGATCAGTACATTCCACTATAACGTGTGCGTTACGTAGCTTTATGTTCCTGTTTGATTATAGATGATGCAGTATAGTCTCTATAGATCTCTTAGCGTAGCTAGTTGTTTGTTGTCCACCAACACACATGTCCTCGTTACCGCTGGGATTTCTCATAGTAATTTAAAATCTATTATGCGAAGGAAGAAACACTGTCAAAAATAAAATCAAAATTTTATCTTTTATTCAAATTAACTATTTGTATTATCTTATGTGCCATTTCTTAATTTTTATTGTTAAAAATTATTATTAATTATATT